GTGGAGGGGGCAATGGAAAAAAGAGGGGTGTGGGGTGCGGGTGAGGACAAGCGGCTTCGACTTCGAGTCTGTAAACTCCTAATCACCGCCTAAGCGTGGATGCAAAGTCAATCTAAAAGTAACTATGTAAACACGTTCTTCTGGAGCACAGTTTACCTGTTGCAGTTAGTCTTTTCCAGTTTCTCGTAAATACATGTAATGTGGTGGCTTTGGGTTTACACTGATTTTTATTTTATCGTGTTAATTAAGTCTACATGACAGCTAAGCTGACATTTACAAATTTCCTGGTCTGAACACAAATCGAGAGACTTTGAATTTCTAAAAATAGCACATAAGCGCTTTATAATAATTCTTTGTCAATTATCACAATCGCTGGTACATAATTGTCAGCTTACATAGTATAAAAATATATAAAAGTAAACTTTAGCCCTCTGTTTGGAACTTACATGACTTATAACGCAAATTCGGGTCACTGTGATGTCATGCAGAAAAGACTCCCATTGAACTTATCCTATTTTAAGAATCAATTGGTAAGGACGGTCGAAATTTACTTACTTTCATCCAAGAAGAAACTACCAAACAAAAATATTGAATAAAGGAGTACCGTATTGTGTTACTGTTATGTGATTGTGCATAAATCAGTTTATATTATGTCAAACAGTTAAGTCGGTGGTTGGCGGGTGCTCTGGTGTGGTTTGCTTCTTCTTTCCTATCAAACATCTATCGTCCTTATCTTCCTTTCTTCTTTTTTACGTTGGTTATTCTCTTGTAATAACTCTAATCTTCTGGCCCTCACATGACCTTATGCAGCATTGCGAGCGATGCAAAACCTCTACTAAAACTAAAAATAAAACAGTTTTCAGCCATTAAACTGTTGCCGACTTCTGTTTTTTGAAGAAAAGAACCCAAAAACGAGAAAACGAGGTAGAGCTACTCTTTTATCAGAGGGCTACAACGGACAGAAAAGGTTGAGAATTCCTGACCTCATCACAACAATGATAATATATCAACGCCACTGAACAAACAAAAAGAAACAACAACAAAAAACCCAACTTCGTCTTATTTACAAGGTGTCCAGTTTAGATCTAGATCTAACGCTCCGCATTTTACAGTAGGGTAACTTCAGTGAAGGCCTATGTTATTTTAGCTAACGCTAGTGTCATGAAATGATGACGAACATGTGGCATCGATGGATTGTGTGACCAACCCCCCGCACACATAAAAATGAACATACGCATACACACATACACTCCCCAGGGGGTAGCTATCCATTTTGCAGCAGGACAGATGTCAGATCATACCCCATGTCGTTCACACCGACTCAAACCTCCAGTCTTCATGAATAAGCATTTATGAATTCTAAAAAGTCAACAATATTCATACATTTCTCACCTGTTGCGAGGCACATTTTCCTGTTTATTTAATGTATCTGATAACTATGTTCCCCATTTTTGTGACCTATTTACATGTAATAGGAATGATGTTAATAATAAGTTAATGTTAGCACGTACATGTCATTGATTACACATTTCAATTTTGGGAAACAGCAGGGGCCATCCTGATCAGTTTTGTCACTTTGTTTAAGATTTGATGCCAGTTTGAAACACCACGGTCTGATTTTCCTAGATCAACCTTGTTTGTTTTGTTTTTGTTTTTGTTTTTGTTTTCTAGTCAAGGTCGCAGCTGATCCTGACTTGAGAAAAAATCAATCTCTAATCTCTCAAGATAACTTTAAGTTAAACACTGCAAGTTGTAGGTGGGTTTTTTAAATCATCATTGTAAAGGCCCCAGTACTTGCAATAACTACACGTCTCTTGTACTTGGAGACACCCTCTGTTCTTAAAGTGTTTTTTTGCTTCAATAAAACAGTTTTATGGCGGACTCAACAGATCATTGATGTTAACAAAAGCCTCTGTACATTGGAATATAATTATTGTTGACAAAGTGACCATGTTCGCGGAAAAATGAAAAGAGGAAAACATGGTTTGGAGTAATAATGCAATCCCACATAAACAGTGCGAGTTCCATTTCTTTCAACTGTATATAACAAATGTTGTGTTTTATTATATGATGTGTGATATAAACAGTTGTGGGACATCAGCGTATGGTTATGATCATCATCAGGAGAAGGTGAAGGAGATGGCAGAGATGGAGGAGGCGGAGAAGGAGGAGGCGGAGGAGGCGGAGAAGGAGGAGGCGGATGAGGCGGAGGCGGAGAAGGAGGAGGCGGAGAAGGAGGAGGCGGAGAAGGAGGAAGTGAATGGGAAGGAGGAAGTGAATGGGAAGGAGGAGGCGGAGAAGGAGGAGGCGGAGAAGGAGGAGGCGGAGAAGGAGGAAGTGAATGGGAAGGAGACATTCTGGAAAAATAACAAGTTTGGTGCCCTTCAAGGCAGAGAACAAGAATCAGTCTTTATAAAGGCAGCCCACTTGGTCTCCCGGCGGGACATCGAGCTGAGGGGGTACAGTACACTCTTATTTCTGTTCGCATTCCCGCCTTGAATTGTTATATATAGTATATATCATGTCCATCAAGGGGAAGACCACGTGGAACCTGGAGAAGAGTCACAGAAATTTAGGTACAGAAATTTAGGTACAGAAATTGGGGAAGGCATGGAATGACATTAAGAGGCTGGCCTAGGCGAGGGAAAAGTGGAAAGTGTATGTTCGTGGCCTATACCCTGGTCCAGCCGCTCAGCCCTCAGAAGCCTTGCACCCTACAACACACGTCAAACTTTAGAAATTTGCAAACTGTTGAAATTAGTCCTCACACTCCATAATTTTTCATTTAACAATCAAATTTTCTCCAGCTGACTGGCACAGCGATGGGTACCCCAGTAGCCCCCTCTTATGCCAACATTTTTATGGCTGAATTTTGGCGCAAATACGTCTCCCCTCTTCCCAACCAACCAGTTGTACTTATGCGTTACATGGATGACATTATCGCGTTGCACAATGGTTGCTCTGAAACAACCCAAAAATTTCTCACTAATCTGAACAAGGTGCACCACTACATCAAATTTACTTATTCCAGCCCAGATAAGTCCACTTCTTTCCTGGACATGTCCCTTCTCATTGCAGATAACCAAATTGAGACAGACTTGTACAAAAAACCTACCGACTCTAATCGTTACCTCCCACCTTCTTCAAACCATCCTAAACATATATTCCGTTCTGTGGTCTATAGTGGTGCTCTTAGACTAAAAATTCTTTTAAACAACGGATAGAGGAATTCACAGCCAACCTTCTTCACAGTGGGTACCGCAAAAATTTTATAACGCCCATTATCGAGAAAGTCAGCAAATTGAACCGCACAACCCTCCTGACCTACAAACCCGTTAAGCCAATACAGAAAAGACCATTTTTCGTCACAACTCATCACCAAAAACTACCTAAGGTACATAAAATCCACAGCCAACACAAAAGCATCTTGGAAAAATCAGACAAAATGAAAGCCTGCTTCCCCGACCCTCCTCTGATTGCACTTCGTCAGCCTCCTAATCTTGGCAACCTCCTCATTAGCACTAGAGCAGTAACACCCACGTCCTCACCTCCGATAAACCCATGTTCCCCGCCTCAAAATTATCCATGTCAAAAACCTAGATGCAAAACATGTGCCTACATGAAAGTAACCAACTTTGTAGAAGGCCCCCACTTTAAAAGAAAACTTTCCCACGGCATCACTTGTGAAACCAAAAATGTAATTTACCTCATATCTTGTAAATTCTGCCCAGCTCAATATGTAGGTCATACTACCACCACACTAAGAGCTAGGTTTAATAACCATAGGTATTCAGTTCAGAAAAACTCCAGCACACCAGTTGGCCAACATTTCAACAGTCCTGGTCACAATGGATTCTCCGATTTGCAGCTTCAGGGTATTGAAATGGTCCAATATCCAACTAAAGAAAAACTTAACCAAGGAGAATCAATGTGGATTTGGAACTTGGGGTCTCACAAAATCCTCACTGGCCTTAACATCGACGAGCACCATTTTAAGGACCTTAAATTTACAACGTAACGTACTAATCACCCTTTATGTTCCTGCAACCCCCTCCCTTTGGCCCTGCCTTTCTGTTATATTCCTTACCTCCACGTACTATCTCTCTCTCTCTCTCTCTCTCTCTCTCTCTCTCTCTCACTCTCTCTCTCTCTCTCTCTCTCTCTCTCTCTCTCTCTCTCTCTCTCTCTCTCTCTCTCTCTCTCTCTCTCTCTCTCTCTCTCTCTCTCTCTCTCTCTCTCCCTCTTTTCCTTTCCCTCTCTCTGCCACCTCTGGCCTTTCCGATTTGTGTTCACCGCACCCTTCTGTTATTATATTCCTTACTTCCACGCACCTTTCCACCCCCGCCCCCCCTCTCTCTCCCACTTCTGGTTTAGTGTTCCCTTCTCTCTGGCGATTTGTACTCACCGCTCCTTTAAATATTCAGACATGTACGCACTCTAGTTTTCATAGCCTGTGTATACTTAGATTCTTGCCAGTTATTTTTGTGAATGTTCCTGAGGAAGCCCGTTGAGGGCAAAACGCTGAACAAACTGTGTATAATACATATTTTCTGGAAATACAACAGGGTCTTAACTGTTTTAACTCTTTTTATCCTAGCCGTACCCCCATGGACTCTGTACCGGTCCTGGGCCCGCCGCGCCGTATGCGTCGGAAGTCAGTGCGTATAGTTCAAAGTGCTATATTTCTTACATTTACTCTACTAAGGTTTTAAGATTTGGCAGTTATGTTAGAAACTGAATGTAGTTTTTGTAAATGTATGTTTTAAGGAAATACACCAATAGCACAATGTTGATTTTGAGGTGTATTCCACCCTTGAACTTGACCCTGATTGCCGCGCCCACGACGTCCCATTGGATTTTATAGATCTAAATCTAGCCCTACCCATTGAGCACGAATTCCAGTACTGACCCCTTCACCATAATCTGAATCGCTATTAGATGAGTCTAAGTCCTGTTTCTTATCATCCACAACGGAATTTACGGCACTTATTTCAGAGTCA